GTATATGCAGGGTTTATACCCCACAAATTATATTTTCAGTTCATGTATGGTGAAAAAAAATCTGTGTAAGTGGACCTGCGTGGTTCAAACCTATGTTGTTCGAGGAATAACTATATACGTGCTCTTATCATATGAGTAGTATTTACCCCATGTGATTTATATATATATATATATATATATATATATATATATATATTTTGAATTGGAGTCTCACTCTGTCGCCCAGGCTAGAGTGCTGTGGCAGCTTAGGAATAAACATGTGAACTACAATAATAAATTACTGTTGTTTAAGCCAGAGTTTTGTTATGGTTTGTTATGCAGCAATATAGCTGGCTAATATGATATAGAAGAATGTATGAACAAGAAGTTAAATTCATTACATCTGAATCTGCTACAATAAAATAATGCTTTCATTTCCACAATAATGCCTCTAAACCATCAACTGAGAGTCATATCAATAAATATGTGTAGACTAGATGATTAAACCTACCAGTCATATCATGAAATAAATGACTTCATGTGAAGAAAGTCAGCCAGTAAGTAGTCTGGTGAGAACAGCATTCTAGTGGTAGTTGAAATTAGAGAAAAGAGCTTTCAATCTGAACTACTGGGTGTTGGCTTGTACTCTGTCCCTAAAGTGAAATAAACATCAGATCAGAGTAAAAAACAAAATGACAAATGTAACCTATGAATTAAGGGGTTAACAAAGCATAGAGTGAAAGAGTAGAATATATAGTGCAATTTTTCCACATGACCTTATTTTTGAAGTTTTGTTTTATTGGCATAAAGATCAGTAGAACCACCATAGCTTAGAACTGGAATAATCTTTGGATGTCTAAATTATTGGCTAAACTACAAAAGTAAGAGTCCATAGACACTCTATACCCTCTAATTTCTAAAACTTGAGGCTCAGATACTGAGTGAAAAAAAATGTTCCTTCTAAATTTTGTTTATACGCCTTTTAAGTTTCATTTCAGATGAAAAACATCTCCTGATAAGTTTAGCATGCATACTGTGGAAAGTAAAAAGAACAACTCCCACATCATCTGATTTATTTAAACAGCTTTCCTGTCAAAGGTCAAACTCAACTGGCATGTTTCTTCAGCATTACCACTTAGCTATCAGCGAGAAAACAAAAACAAGCCACTGTCTCAGGGTAAGGAGTAAGTCCTTTATATCCAAGGACAAAATGGAGTAGCCACAAGCAATAGAGCTAGGTGCCAAGATTACCAAAATATCAAGGCAGACAGAGACACTAAAAAAGACATAAACTCAAAGCCAAGGTAACAGCAAAACCAAAATACAGACGCTCAATCATTTCCATATGTGCCACATAGATAATGGCACAGATTAGTTACTGGTTCCTGGAAAAAGGAAAAAAAAATTAAACCCTAAATTGGGATTTGGCAGAATCTTTATAAATATGTATATATTTACCCACACATACACACATGTAAATAGAGTGGCCATTTATTCCTTAAAAAATAAATTACAGGCTGGGCGCAGTGGCTCAAGTCTATTCCCAGCACTTTGGGAGGTCGAGTCAAGAGGATTGCCTGAGTTCATGGGTTTGAGACCAGCCTGGGCACCTTGGCAAGACCTCGTCTCTACAATAAATAAAATATAATAAAAATTAGTCGAGCATGGGAGTGCACACCTGTAGTTCCAGTAACTTGGAAGGCCTGAGCCCAGCTACCGGAGCCCAGTGGGTCGAGGATGTGGTAGCTGTGAGTATGCCACTGCCCTACATCCTGGACGACAGAGTGAGAGCCCTACTCAAAAAAAAAAAAAAAAGCTCACATGCCAGTGATTAAGTCAAGTCACATGGTTAAGCCCAGGGTGGGGATCAGCACACAGTGGGAGGGTACTGCAAAATTACAAGGCAAAAGACTTGGGTGGAGGGAGGGTGGGAGAAGACCTGGAGCCAGGGATGCAACTTGCTTACATATTCAAGGTACTCATTGGCTCTGAGTCAAGGGTCTCTAAATGGTCTCTTGATCCATTGGATCTTCTCTATCTAATAATAACCATCCTAAGGCATAAAGTAGAACAGGCAGAGGCAGGCCATGGCCATGTGTGTTCATCCAGGGACAAGAGTTTCCCAATATTGGAAATTGAGGAATACTAAAAAGTTTAAAGGAAAAAAAGTCATGCGTGTTCTGAATGAATATCCAGTGATGTACTTACTATTTGGTATATCTTCTTTGTCTTTTTTCTATCATTTTCTTCATTAATAATATATAAATTTATATCTAGATTTTTTCCTAATATTCTATCATACACATTTCTGTTGTTATTAAAGAGGTTTTATAAATGTATCATTAATGTCTACATAAATATTCCATTGTATGGATGTACCATAATTGACTTCACCCTTCCTTTGCTGTCAAATATTATGGTTATTTCCACATTTTCTGATTATAAATAATGCTGCAGTATTACAGGATTATCTTTATACACATTGAGTTGTGCATACATCTCTATCCATGTTGAGTTGCTTCCGTAGTGGAAAGATTACTGGCCAGAGTGCATAGATCTGGGTTCTGCCACTAATTTGTGATGTGACCTAGACCTGCATGTCATTTTCCTCATCTATAAAATGATGCCTTTGAACTTTTTGGCCTTTACTCAATCTAAAACATCTTTCAGGATAGAGGAATAAATTGCTGGATTGGAGTGGAGGCATGACGGCAACACCAACTGTTTGTCCTCAAAAAAGCTGAGGAGAGGCGCCTCCTTGGTCTTCCCACTTGAAAAGCTTCCATTGTCTTGGGGGGCAGGTTTCATTTTTTAGTCAGGTATCATCACTTGCCATGCAGTCTCCATCCCCTGAAATAGCAGTGGTGATATTTATATGTTTTTAAAGAGGGCTAGAGGACACTTAGCATTAAGAATATAAGCTGTGGTGACCTGTTTTTTGAATATGCACACTTTGAGAATGGCCTTGTTAGTTTGGAAGAACTGGTCTCATTAGCCATTTTCTTTTTTGACTTATAATTTTGTGTTCACTTTTTGTGTTTATGTTTGCCTTTTCTTTTGTTTGCCTTGTGAATTAAGTTTCATCACAGTCACCTTAATTGCACAGTCAGGGAATCTGGTCTTATCTCACAATTTCCTGGTAATTGTGGGCAGCCTTTTCCCCAGGGAGTGCTTCCTTACTTTTCATTTCCACATGTACTGAGGCTGTATTTCATCTGTCTCTCTCCAGCCTTTGCCAGAGGTAAATATTGCTCAGTTTGGGCAGGCTTTCGGTGTTGACTTCAAAAAGCAAAGGCATTGACATGCCATTGCTGAATGGAGAAAGTGAGATCTGTACTCTCTCTCAGACCCCTTCCTGACTCTGTCCTAAGTGGGTCTTCCTTGTGGCACAGTCTTCTAGTTTTTGAGCTGCTTTCAGGAGAGGTGTTGGAATCTTCTTTCATCTTTTGGTCCAGTTGTTTCTCCAGGCTGAGCTAGGATGCTGTCTGTGTCAAGTACAGAGTGGTCTCTCCCCTCTGGCTGCCATCAGAAGGCCCTTTGTTCCCTCCCCGGCCCCCTCCACCAGAATGTCGCCCACACCCCATGAATGATGGAAATCTCCAGTCACACCACAGCTCTCAGCTGCCCCCACTGCTTTAGCAAAATATCTTCCACCATCAGAAGTTTTGTCCGTCTTTATTTTACCTCAGGAAATAAATTAGGACTGGAATAATTCATCAAGTCAATTTTAAACTGGATTTAGGAGGAAAATAATTTTCCTTTGTGAATGTGAACCAAACTTTTTCAAGGCATGAAGGAAGTTGCTTAGGAAATAACATTTTAATAACTGTGGATTTTAGTTTTCAGTTTCTGTGTCTGCCCTTCCTCTCCTCCTAGTTGTCCTGAATGATTTTCATGTGCGTTTTCATAAGAAAACTGGAGTCAAATTCTTGAATGTAAAATTATTTAAAATGTGATTAACTTTGTTCCCCTGAACATTAGTGGGTCACTATGCATGTGAAGCATCTGGTGTTTAAACATTTTCACAAAGCAAAGGAGCATATATTTGCTTTATTTCAGCTTCATTTTCGTAAAACTGGTATTAGGTAAGAAATGTGGACTTTGGGAACCACCGTCTTGTTTTTTCGTGCTCTATGCTTAGTCTCCCTTCCTCTCTGCTTTTCCAGGGCAGAGCTGCAGCACTAGCTCTGAAGTAATTTGGTAAGAAATGCACGGTACTGCTTACACTTAAGGAAGAATGTGCGTTAAGTGATAGAGGCACTCTGTTCTGTCTTGTTGATTGGTTATTATCTGTCCCCAGGCCTGGTGATATTCAGGAAAGCTTGTGGAAGAAAAACCCAGACCCGCCAAGGCTCAGTCAGCAAAGGGCAGATGTTTGTTGAGCAAAGTCCGTGAAAGTCTACGTTAGGTTTAAGGCATAAGTGAGATCACAGGGAAAACAGACAAGGAAAAAAACAAAACAAAACAGGGAGTGAGAAGAAAAAAAAAACCCACGAGACCAAAGAACTTTCCACTGGGGAGAAGGAGAGAAACCCACTCATCATTCACCCTTCTCTTGTCCTCTCTCCTGAGACCTTAGTGCCAACCATTTGTGTTTTTCATTCTTGTTTTAAAATGTGCTTATATATTTTTGAATGGATGACACATTTTGAATGGATAACTTGATTTAAAAACAAAAAGCGTAACTCATGACACATTCCAAATCCTCCCCACCATCCTCTTCCCCATCTATCCAGTCTCCTTCCTGCCCCGCCCAGGAAGCCACATTTCTTTCTTTGATATGTATTCCTTCCAGAGTTCTTTAGACATAGTCACAAGTGAATATGAGTACAGATTCTTACTTTGCCGTTCTTTCCTTATCCATTCATCACCTCTCTCACACACTCACTTTATTTTGTTTTATTCCACTCTCAATCATCCTTTGTTGAGCTTTTTTGGGGGAGAAAGACCAGTGATTTTTTGTTTAGCTGATGCCCAGTGCCTTGAACAGGTTCACATATGTGCTTGTCTTTTTCCTGCAGATGAAGTGGAAGGTGAGAAATGGTACCTGTCCACAGATTTTCCTTCAACAACCATCAAGACCGAGCCAATTACGGATGACCCACCCCCAGGACTTGTGCCTTCTGTCACTCTGACCATCACAGCCATCTCCACACCTTTTGAAAAGGAGGAACCCCCTCTGCAGATGAATGCTGGGGTATACTCAATTTTCTTCCATGTTGGATTAAAGATACAGATCCTCATTTTCCAATAAGGCATTTAATGTTTTTGGAGTTAGTGCCTATATACACTTAAGGATGCAACTTTATATGTATGCATATATACACGCATCTATCAAGAGTATGTTGATTTGGTGTCAGCTTCCTGTAGTGCCATTGTTCAGAAACATTGGTAGCAAAGTTGATTTAATCTTTTCCTTTGATTACTATTTAAAGAAAAAATCACAGATGAATATTCATGGTTAAAAAAATTCTCATGGCACTGATATTTAAGCACTGGGGAGGGAGTGGTTAAGGTGATGGTGCAAGCTATGACTTACAGTGCAAGGCTGCTGGGAGTGCCGGCTCCTGTGTAATATGCTAATGTAATGCTGAGTTACTCTTACTCGATTCAGGAATCGCCTACCTACTGATCCTTATTGAATTACATGTGAAAAGCATTAGAAATCAGGACTTTCTTCCTTGCTCGATTCCATGCCTGCAGCAAGTAGAATTTAATTAGATTCCACCTTCTTTCGGAGTGGACCAAACACTTACACATCTTCTTACAGATGTTGGAAGCCAGTCTTAGCATTCCTTAACTTCAGAGTCTCTGGATATAAACAATGACTCCACTGACATTCCTTAAGTCATATTTCCTATGAGCAAGATACAGTGTTGGTTGGGCTCGGTGGCTCAGCTTGTAATCCCAGCACTTTGAGAGGCCGAGGCGAGTGGATTGCCTGAACCCACAGGTTCGAGACTAGCCTGGGCAACTTGACGAGACCTCATCTCTACAATAAATAAAAAATTAGCTGGGCATGGTAGCACACACCTGTAGTTCCAGCTATTTGGAAGGCTGAGTTGGAAGGATCACTAGAGCCCAGCAGGTCAATGTTGGGGTGGCTGTGAGTGTGCACTCCAGCCTTGGCGATGGCATGAGATTCTAACTCAAAAAAACCCCAAAACAATACAGTGTGTACCTGCTCAGGTAAAGGTGACATAGAATCAGCAGAGTCCCCAGAGCATTGCTGTATACCCAGTTCTTGGTCCTTCTGTGCAGCAGATGAAGGGCTGTAGACAGAAGACTCCTGCAACTGCCCTCCAGGATTCCTTTCTCAGTGGCTACCTGAGTTTTTTTGTTGGACTGGGCTCCTGGGGTCCATAGTGGTCTCCTTGTCTCATAAGATTTTAATTCAGGTGATTTTTAAGTGTGTAACTAACAAAGCTCAGGGTCATGGCCGTGTTCTCTGTGTATGGGACAAATCAGTCTTTTCCTTTCCCTGCTGGGTATTTCATGGATGGTTAGAAATCTTGGAAGCCATTAGGAATATTGAAGAAAAAGGAAGTAGCCTGGTGCACAGTCCCTACCCCAGGCCAAACCAGTGGAGGACTGTGACTCTTTAAAAATTTACCAGAATATTTTGTGATAAGATACCTTTATAACACCACAAAAACAGTAAAAGGAAACAGTGACAAGTGAGCCTTGGCTTTCAGCTTTAGCATCCTGAAGGCACCATCAGCTATGTGGTTAAGTTGGTCAATGAGAAAAAGCTGAGGTGAATCCTTGTCAGAAAAACTGCGTATGCTCAGCTATGCTCCAGAGAGGCAGCGTTGTCCTGAGAGGAAGATGCAGGTGATAAATGACTTGCTGGTGACAGTCTTCAAGGTTGTCACTGGTTTTTAAAATCTGTGCTTGGAATTCTTTCTTCAGGTGGATTCCTCGTGCCAGACCATCATCCCCAAAATCAAGCTGGAGCCTCATGAAGTGGACCGGTTTTTGAACTTCTCTCCTAAAGAAGGTCTGTCTACTCCGCCTGCATCCTCAGGCCATGGACGTGGTCTTGCGGCCTACAGAGAAAGGAGATATGGGTGGGAGTGCTGGGATCTGTTTATAGAATAGCTCCATTCTTAAAAACCTTGTTTCCAAATACAAATTTTGAAAGTTAAATCTTATTTTCCCACATATGTACATGATTAATTTCTGGCGAAGGGGTACTGTAATTTTGCTCCTTTCTAGGGTGATTTAAAAAAACAAACAAAACCTTTTTAGACTGCTATGATGCAGACACTGGTGAACTAGAGAACTGCAGCTCTTATTCCATTCTGGTGTGAACCCAGTACAGCCCCACAAATAGACAACAGTTGTCAAAGCTACTAGCTACCTTGCTTGGTTAAAACAACTCTTGTTTCAACCCTTTGTGAAGTGAATTCACAGTTGATCTGTCTGGCTGCATCAGTGTTTTTAAATGTTGGCTTCAGATGATGACAGTTGCCAGGAGCACCCTACCTATCTGGTAATGTTCATTTTCTACCATTTTGCCTCCTCTAGGCTTCTTGCCATCCAGCCATTTAGAACTCAGTGGTGCCATACTTGAAGTTGTCATACAGATTTTGCATTTTCTCTTTCTCTATGTTCCTATCTGTTGGATTTCTCTTTCTTGGTTCTCCTGCGAAGTCCATAGTTAGGGATCCTGGGTGCAGACTCCATGCCTTAGGAAGTCTAACAAAGCTCTCTCTGCCTTGTTTGTGCAGACTTCCCTGCACGGATCCTGCCCTCCTCAGTTCTGTGCCTTGGAGAGTCACACTGCCACCTCCCTTTTTGTTTATTTTTTCAGTACAAATTTGGAAGTACAATTTATTGGTGTGGTCAACAAAAAAGAAATTAGTACAACAGTTGTCATAGAAAATGTGTATATGCTACTGTATGTAAACATGTGAATGCAACATACAAGCACTTCTCATGGAAACATCCACCTTCATTCTGTTCGAAATGAACTCAGGACTTGATTTGTGACAGTTTAGTCAGGTTTGGCTCTTTATATACCTTTATTATCAGTAAATGAAGGATTAAATTTTAAAAATTTATAGAATTGACTAGAATCCATGTTGAGAATGATACATAGTGGTGCTGTTCCACTTTATACACTGCATTAAAGTAATCCTTTCATTTTTGTGACACTGGTTATTTGTTTCAAATATATCTTGCTCTTTTAATTTATATAGTGATATGGTTCAGAATGTGTGATCACTGTAATGATGAATCCCATAGTGGCTTCAGATCTGGGGTCACTGGAGGAGAAATGTTTCAAGAATAAAGTCCTTCCTCATTATCCTGTATAAACAGAGATAAGGGAATTCAATATCCTTGAATGCACCAGAGTTTCTAGGCAAAGTAGCTTGTTGTTCCCAGACCTTTCAGTAACCCAAGAGTGGCATTTCAAATGATATTTAGAAACCTGACACTGAAGCACCTGTGGCCAGGTCAGTGGCTCTCAAGAGGCAGGAAAGATGAGATTCAAGTTTGCTCCACTCACTCTTCTTCTCATTTCATTTCTGTCTTTTGTGGGGAACCTTCTGCTTGGAAAGGAGACCAGTGTTAGAAAAATTTGGCCTGCGCCAAGTGAAAGGGATAGGGGAGCTCTTGGCTAGTTCCTAGGAATGTGACAGCTCCGGGTATGTAATAGGTGCTTCTTCCTGGTTTTAGCTTATTTTTAAACATAAAGTAGCATAGTACTCATGGCATTAGAAAAACCCGGATTACGATTCCCATGTTCTAGCCAAGCACATACATATTTAAGGTACATGCTTACCTTCCTTGGCAACTATTGACAGGAGTGCTGGGAATGGAGTACATAGGATTACTTTAGAATACTTTTTAGCTTTAAGAGTGCCCACAGACACTCAAAAATCCAGGGAGCATCTAGAGAAAAGAGTAGTGTGTTAGAAAAGAGAAAGCAAGGGTTATAGAGAGAGAATAACAGTGAGAGGAGAGGAGAGGGGTGGGAAAGAAAAGTGTGCAGAGGACGGGGGCCGGGGATATCACCTGTTGTCACCTTGGGTGTTCAGATATTTCAGGAGGAGAGAGATGCCTGACTGCTGCTTGTCATCCCCGAGGGGAGCTATGGGCAGGGTCATATTTCCTAGGTCAGTAGTTAGTTGTGTCTCTGGAAGGCCCTGCCTATCTGCAGCACCTTGGGCATCTCCATTTGAAGAGGAGATGGGGTGGCAGTGGGGGGCTGATGTGCTGAGGCATCCCATGGCCTCATGCAGTTTTGTGGCTGAGTAGACCCAGCCGTGTGTAAAGCTTCCAGGGCCACCCCACTGCATGGCTGCTGTGCTAAGGGCTCCATTGTTCTGGGGATCCCAGGTGTGAAGGTTTACCCAAAGTTATCTCCCTCGGCTCAGTAACAGTTGTAGGCACAACAGAAATACCTGCTCTTCAAGAGAACTGGACCTGAGAGAGCTTCTGTCCTCATTGAACCTAAATTGGAAGACTCCTTCAAGGGCTCATCCCTGCTGCCCTGGAGATGCCTAGTGGATATTGACCAAGGCTCCTCAGGGCCAGGCAGTATGTTGCGCCTCCCTGAGGAAGGACCAGGTGTGCACTTTGACATGCTGGGGGACTCTGGAGGAGAAAGCCCCCTGCGCGCCCTCTGACCTTTCCCTTGCCTGCACACCTATCTGAAGATGGATCATGTTTCGGAGTGAAGAATGCCTGGCATCTTGCCTGCGGGCCCTATCATGCACATTCTTCCAGAAACATGAGCTGTCCTTGACCCAGACGCAGCAAACCCTTATGGGCGCCCAGGCTCTGCTATCTTTTACAAGATTTTTCTTTAAAGTGCACAATACATTAACTTGGCTTACAAGTCAAACTGTGTGAACCATTTGAAAAGAATATAGTCTTATTAATACCTTGTTGCAATCTACCCTAATTTTACCATGCCCACCTTGGGTCACACCTTTACTGGTTTCTTGTATGAACTCCCAGTGTTTCTTTATGCCAATGCAGGCAAATATGAGTCTGTATCCTCTTTTCCCCCTTTTTCATACAGAAGGAGGACTACTGTATACACTGTCTGTGTCTGCCCTCCCCCCCCACCCCGCACTCCCCACTACCCCACACTACATCTTGGAGGTCTTTCCATGTCAGCTCAGGGAGGGTCCCCATTCTTGTCCACCATGTGGACACACACAGTTGTGTCGCCCTGGGTCTTGCTTTGTGGTTCTAGGATGGATGAGCTGAGCTTTCTCTTTCGTAGCCCCGGTGGACCACCTACATCTGCCGCCCACGCCCCCCAGCAGTCATGGCAGCGACTCAGAGGGCAGCCTGAGCCCCGACCCACGCCTGCACCCCTTCGGCCTGCCTCAGACCCACAGTCCTGCTAGGGCTGCCCCCCGGGCGCCCTCTGCCCTCTCCAGCTCTCCACTCCTCACAGCTCCCCATGTAAGTATGCAGCAGGTGTTTACAGACAGACAGAGACCTCCGTCCCATGGGACATCACCCAGTGCAGGGCCACCCAAAGATGCTCGCTTTTTAACCTTGTTGGAAAGTGTCTGTGTAATGGCTAATGCAGAGTGATGAAACCCTAAAGAGCATTTTTAAGAACTGCCCACAAGACTCATCTTGCTACCCCCGTGTTCCTCCTTCTCACATGCACACATCCAGTTTGTATTCGCATGTTCATTTTACAGGGCTGTAGGTATGAAGAATAGACATTTTGTTTTGTTGTCCTCAAAATTTCACCATAAAGATATGCTATTAATTTAATGGTCCTTATGGCCTGTAATAGGAAATACCTTTTATATTTTAAATAGTCAGTCTTTGGTGAACTTAAAAATCACTCTGAGATTAAATTATTTGATGCTGAAAGCTAAAAACATACTTTTACCCTTTTTTGTGTGTGGTATGACTCTTCATGCAGGGACTCAGAAGTCAAAATCACAAGTCACTGTTCATCACTCACATACACACAGATACCATTTTCCAAGTAAAAATGAGGAACAGAGAATTAACTATTTGTCCTAAAGAGTGACTTGATCTCTATAAAGTCTCAAAAATGATAATTAGCTTTTTTGAATTTTATAATATCATGACATCTAAATGAAATGAGATATTTAAAAATTCTATGAGAACTATCCATCTATTAACGTAACTTTGAAAATTGGATTGATGCTGTCCCCAAAAGTTCTAGATCTGTAGCCACATTCTTATTACCAAGGAGAAGAGAATTCATTCTTTCCACTTTATCTTTTTTGACTTGAACCTAAACTTTGGATCACTGCAGTAGATTATCTGCTGTATGTCTGTGAGTCCTATGCATGTTTATGGGGAAACTCTTCCCCGTTGGACCCTGCTCAACAACCAACTTGTGTTTCCCTCTCACTTGTTGGCACCACGCCCTGGTACCCTTACTTATGACCAGGTGCCCAACCCTCTGCTGCTTCAGGAACTCCTTACCTACTGCGGGCAGAGGGGCATCTTCAGTTACTTTTCAAAATACTGCTTTTTGTATGGAATGCCCTCTTCTCTCTGATAAATCATCCCTATTTTTTTCAGGAGGCCTGGTTCAAGCCTTATCTCCTACCCTAAACCTTCCCTGATCACATAAACTCAAGTGTTTTCTTTCTCCATATTTGTAATGCACCTTCAATTGATATTTCATTTTAGCATTTAATTAGTCTCAGTTTTTCTTAAGTATCAATTCAGTCTTACAGCCTGAATCTTGTGATGGAGGTTGATCTTGAACTTGAGACATAGGATTTGTTTTAAGTCCTCGGTGGCATTGAGCCTAGAGCTAATACGCCAGAAGTACTCCATTCTCTTGACTTAATTATACAGGCATCATTCTATTGTGGCCTGTGTGAGATGAGCTATGGTTCTCATCTTCGCTGATGGGCAGTCTGGACCTGCTAAAGCCAGAGGTTTCCCAGGAAAGAGGCTGCAGGTATATCCCTGCAAGTTCTGGCCCCTTAGCTGCAAGTGGAGGTGAGAAGCAGCTCCTGGTGACTACCTTATACAGTTGCATTTTCAGAAGGAGAACAACACAACCTTCCACACAGCAGAGCTGCAAGCGAATCTTTCCTCACTCCAAGGCCAGGAAACCTTCAGGACTGTGGGATATGAATTCTCCACTTTTACATTTCACATTTTAGCTGGTGGTGCTTTCTGGGAAATAATGGGTGGAGGCTTTTTTATCCCTTCCCCTAAATTATGATCCTTGAGTTACAACCCTCGCATGGGAATGTCAACCCCATCTTTACTTCCACTTCAGAGTACCTTTTTCTCACCCAAAGTAGATGGGGTATGCTTTTATCTGAGCCATCTGCTAGACACCATGACAGGTTCTCATCACCCAATGGAGGTGACTCTTCAGCGTGCTGTTTCTTCTTTGACCCTTTTCTGCTCCTTGGTGTGCACAGAAACTGCAAGGATCAGGCCCCCTGGTCCTGACAGAGGAAGAGAAGAGGACTCTGATCGCCGAGGGCTATCCAATCCCCACCAAACTGCCCCTGACAAAATCAGAGGAGAAGGCCCTAAAGAAGATCCGGAGGAAGATCAAGAATAAGGTGAGCCCTTCAGAACCAGTCACGCCCAGAGCAGAGAATGTGAGCAACACAGCTTTCTCTCCCTTCCTAGTTGCCAGCACTAATCATCCCATGTGAGGCCCAAGGCTCAGCCCTTGCTTTCCCAAGGCCAGGGGAGGAGCTTCATCACCACCCACCTGCTCTTCCTCCGGCCCCTCCCATCTGTGGCTAGGACAGCAGACTCTCGAGTTATCATCTACACCGTGTGGTGTCCAAGAGATGATTCATGCAGGGGCCAGGTGAAGATATTAGAATTTCCATGTACATTTATCGTTTTATTCTCAGCCGTTTAAATTTCGGTTGTATGATGTATGTAATAGTTTCTGCTAGTAGACATGTATATGATTTATACATAAATAAATATAAATACATTGGGGGGTGCTTGCTGAAATTTTTATTTTGGTAGGGGTTTGTGATTAAAAAAAAAAAATTCTTAGCCCACTGGTCTACAGGTAGTATCAGCAGTCTCCTAGTCCTAGGCTCCTTCAGTGCTGAGCAGGGACTTGTGGGGACCATGGTTTAGGCATGAGCTGACTAGAAGGGAGGAGGCAGAGAGGAAGAAGGCCAGAGTTTGGTATTACTCTTCATCTATGTGCAGAACCTTTGTGAATTGATACATGGCTGGGCAGTTGTCTTGTTTTACATACATTGTTGAGCCCATGGAGGTCTAGGGAGTTAAAATCATCTCTTGGGAACACACTGATGATTCGTGACCCACATGTTTTGTCTGGCTCATGGCCCAGCGTCCTTTCCACTGGGGAAAGTAGGGGAGGAAAGTAGGGGAGGAGAGTGTCAACTGGTGGGAACCCTGCAGGACAGAGATTTGTTTAGGCTAGGTTGTAGATGAACTGACAGCGTAAACAGGGGAAGCTGCCGAGGTGAGCAGGGCTCTGGTGATATCTATGCTAATGACCTTCCTTCTTTTTTTTTTTTTTTGAGTTGGAGTCTCACTCTGTCACCCAGATTGGAGTGCAGTGGCTGCTCCCTGCCACCGCAGCCTCGATCTGCTGGGCTCTGGCGACCCTTCCACCTCAACCTTCCAAGTAGCTGGAACTACAGGCGCACGCTACCACACCCAGCTAATTTTTGATTTATTGTAGAGATGAGGTCTCGCCAAGTTGCCCAGGCGGGTCTCGAACCCGTGGGCTCAGGCAATCCCCTCAGCTTACTTATAGAGCTGGAAAGTAATCATCGCCTCACTCCCTTATCTCTCAGATTTCTGCCCAGGAAAGCAGGAGGAAGAAGAAAGAATACATGGACAGCCTGGAGAAAAAGTAAGCTTGCTGGCAAATTGCTATTTTCATTGGGCAGTATGCATGGAGAAATGAGTGTGTTGAGAATTGGTGAGAAGTGACGGAATTCCTCCTTCTGACCACCCTGACAGGCGTGTGCCTTATCAGCCATGTTTTGCCTGCCACCTAGTGGCTGTTCAATGGGATTATTTATAGTAACGAGTTCACTTAGTCTAGGCGTTTGAAACACACTATTCCTAGCCAAGGGCCCCAAGTCCTTGGAGGCTTTTGAGAACAAATGTCAACATTCCCGCACATTCCTGAAACTCCTCAGAGGAGAGCGCTGTTTGGCCAATAGGAGCAGTGCTGCTTAACCAGTTCCTGCTGCACACGCTCTCGTGCCTAGAGAACTTTGCCTGGGGAATGAAAAGTCAGGTCAGCGTCCTTTATTTTTCGTCCACTGTTATTCATGGTACAGGTGAGTGGCCTTTTTTAATAACACTTGAAGGCACCCTGTGGCCTTTTGAAAAGCCTGGAAGATCAGAAGGGCTGTTAGAAAAAGGTGAATTAAATGTAACGTTGTGTTAGCCCTAAAAGATAGTTTTTCAGTGAACAAATGAATATCATTTTAAGATGACTATGAGGCCTCAGGCTCAGAAACAAATCTTCATGCGTATCTGGGGAAAAAAAGTGGTCAGGGGCTCCTAGCTGGTACTAGAAGTTCCCATGGAAAGTTTAGTGCTCCATCACCTAAGTACAGTAATTTAGCACTAAGTACAATAGGCTCTCCATATTCATGAGTTCCCCATCCTTGGATTCAACCAATTGCAGTTCAAAAGTAATCAGAAACAAACAAACAAAAAAACCCTTAAAAATAGCAGTTCAAAGTAAATAAGTAAATAAAAAAGTAATTTAAAAACTATAGTGTAACAACTCTTTACAAAGTGTTTGCTTTGTATTAGGTATTATAAGTAGAGATGACTTGAGCGTTCACAGATTTTGGTGTCTATGGGGAGTCCTGGAACCAGTTCTCCCAGATACTGAGGGACGGTTATTGACCATTCTGTTCCAACATCTGTAGGCATCCAGGGTCAAGCTATCTCTATGACTACCTCTTTATGCCTCTTTGGAGCATGTGTGCTCCAGCATTGGGGTTCCTCGTCCTGGGTTCTCCCCCTCCCCTTGCTTCTTATTGATCCTTGTGGCCATGAGGGCAGCTGGTAGCATCCAGATCACTGTGATACAGAGGGAGAAGCGTGATGCCTGTTAAAAACCACAGGGGAGAAGCGAGGGAAAGCAAGGTTGTAACATCCTAAAAGAGAGTTGTATTTTGTACCATTCGTGTTCACCTTTCATTTGTTGAGGAATTTCTTACTCAGCTCTCTCTGTTTTCTTCTTCTTCTTCCTCTTCCTTTTCTTCTTCTTTTTTTTAAGTAAGAGTCTCACTCTATTGCCCAGGCTTTGGAGTGCAGTGGCACGCTCATGGCCACCACAGTCTCGTCCTCCTGGGCTTAGGCGATTCTTCTGCCTCAGCCTTCCCAGTAGCTGGAACTACAGGTACATGCCACCACACCCGGCTAATTTTTTGACTTATTATAAAGACAAGATCTTGCCAAATTGCCCAGGCTGCTCTTAAACCCATAGGCTTAGGCAGTCCTCTTGCCCTGGCCTCTCCAAGTGTTGGGATTACAGGCGTGAGCCACTGCACCTGGCTGTTTTTAATTCTTTGGTGTCTTTATCCTTCTTCCCTCCTCAGGCTGGTCAGGCTCTTTCCCACACCTCCCTAGAGTGACAGATACCCCTCTTCTTTCCTGATCCCCACCTCCCTCCATCTGCTCCTGGCTTGGCATTTGCTCTGCTGATAATAACCAATTTTCTTCTTTCTGTCTCCTTCGTAGAGTGGAGTCTTGTTCAACTGAGAACTTGGAGCTTCGGAAGAAGGTAGAGGTTCTGGAGAACACCAATCGGTAGGTGCTACGAGAGGGAGAGTCGCCTTGTGGCGGGTGAGGGAGGAGGGAGTGAGATCCAGGAGCAGAGTTGGAAGGAAATGGAAGAGATCACGTTGAAGGTACAGTTGTGCGGGATGTTCAGGATGGCTGAACTCCACTACTTGTTCCTGCTACACACGCACGTGTGCATACATGCCACACGCACATGCTTGTTCTTTACTTTTCCTGATGATAAAGGATTGATGAAATGGCTGATCATTACAAGGCCCGCTTAAGGGGGTAAAGAAAGAGGCTTAGAGGAGAATAAGGGCGACAAGTCTGATTCTCCTGAAAATGACATCACACTTAAGGGGTAGACAAGGAGGCACTGGCCACTTCATTGTCACTAATTTTGGTAACAAATGATGTTATTAGTTTAAAAAATAGAAAATCATGTTTATTTATAAAATTAGTAAAAATTAGTTAATTAAACATCAAACCCATTTTGAAAAAATAACCACGGGACTGAGTTAATGAATTTCCCTAGTCCTTGCTGTGCCAGGCACTGTTTTAAGCCCTTTCTAGCCATTAACTCATGGAGCTCTGTCAGGCGATATTATTATTATCCCCATTATATAGAGGGGGCAACTGAGACTCAGAAAGCTTAGATGATTTGCTTAAGTTCACCCAACAAATGCTAAAGCTGCATTTGAACCCAGGAAATCTGGCTCTGGAGCTTCAATATGGGAGGACTATATAGAGATTTATGTGAAAGAAAGGGATTAAATTATAGAGTTAAGAAACTGGCTGTTGGAGACTTTCGTCAAGCATATATGTGTTTGTGAGCTTACATGATGCCCACCTGTGTTCTGACAAATATTCCTTAGTCAGAGACTCCTGTTGCTCTTAGTGTTATAGAGCCAACAAATTAAGCAGAGGAAAATGGACTTACTGGGTTAGCAAAATATTAATTAATTATTTTAAGGATCGCATCAATGCCTACCTAATAACAATCTTGCAAATATGAAGGGATTCGATTAGACCTCTTTGCATGTTACTTGGTAATAACAATTAATTTGACTCTCATCTCCTGAGTCTTCATGGTGTGTTGCTCAAATAGCAGGCTAATATACTCATAACATCTCAGTGAGATATTGGGATCTTGCTGAATGTTGCTCTGTATTTCTGGGAATGGGGCTCACATAGCAGTCATATGGAAGAAACACCACCAGCTTAGTGTGGCGTTCCCTACATCTCCCGAGGCACAGGGGCTGGCTTCACTGACCACTTCCAGATCACCACTCCCTTTAGCCACTCCCTCTCCTGTCTCCACCTTCACTCAGAGGAGATTTCCTAAGGATCCTGATCCCCCAGGCAGTCTATGACCATCTCTCTTTAGCCTCCTGAGCAGATAAAAATTCCAGCGCCCATCCTGGCACCTGCTGTTGCATAACACCCGGGTTCACGAGTGGGACAAATCCTGGCCAGGATTGAGTGAAAAAGGGAGGGGGGAATCTGTCAAAAAAAGATAACCTTGGAGTTTGTGGCCAATTTCCCTCTTGTCTAGGGGCTCGAAGTCAGGCCTTCCTCGGCCACACGGGGGCAGCAGAAGCCCGACAGGGATGTGCTGTGGCTAGGTGGGACTGTGTGTGGGAGAAGGGCCCGCAGGGCCACCTTGCCTGGGAAAGGTCTGTCCTCCCCTCTCCAGGTTGACTGTGCTGTTTGTTTCTCTTTTTCTCTCTTCACGCTTTTATTTTCGCTTGTTTGCTTGAATCAGATATCCAAGTATGTTCCATATGTTCAGCAGGTTCCTGTGCCCAATGCACAGCTTTTAATCTTAGGGTCTCTTCCCTCTCTTTGCTTGTTATTTAGTGAGGACTGAGTCAGTTGTTCTACAGAGTCTTCTTCCATGGTCTCAGTTTACTTATGACATCCTTGTGGTGCCATTTAGCACAGCCTGGGTCCACTATAGACTGTACTTTGTCTGGTTTTTTATTTTTGGTAAGAATTCCTCTTCAGATCCTCTGTATTCTTTCATCAGGAGGAACATACACACTGGTTGTCAGTTGTCAGCAACATATAGGTATTGCCTGGACAGATCAGTACATTAGGGGTTTGGAATCAGCTTCACAAAATTCAATCACTTCTCCTTTAGTTACTAGCAGCATATTTTTCTAGAGTAAAACTCTTCATCATTATTGAACATGGGAGCACAGACTTCTCTACGAGGTGCTGATTTCACTGCCTTTGGGTATGTACACAGCAGAGCTCTCTATGTATGGTAGACTTGTATGTATGGATGTATGGTAGACATAGGTATGTGTATATGGTAGACTTTATGCATGGATGTATGTATATATGGTAGACTCGTGTGTATGTATGTATGGTAGACTTTTTGTATATGTGGTAGACTTGCATGTATGTACATACGGTAGATTTTGTATGTGTGTTAGACTTGTATGTATGTATGGTAGATTTTGTATGTACGTATGGTAGACTTATATGTATGTATGTATGGTAGATCTTGTATGTATGGTAGACTCATATGTATATATGTATGGTAGATTTTGTAGGTATGTATGTATGTATGGTAGATTTATATGTATATATGTATGATAGATTTGTGTATGTATGGTAGACTTTGTGTATGTATGGTAGACTTGTATGTAGATAGGTATATATGGTATCCTTTATATTTGCATGTATGGTAGATTTATATGTATGTATGTAAGTATGGTAGACTTATGTATATGTATACATGTATGGCAGTTCTATTTTTAATTATTTTAGAAACCTCTACACTATTTTATATAATGGTTTTGTCCGCTTACATTCTTACCAGCAGTGAACAATGTTACCTTTTCTCCACATCCTCACCAACACTCACTATCTTTTTTATAATAACTATCCAAACAGGTGTGTGGTGATACCTCAGTACTTTTTATGTGTATTTCTCCGATGATAAGTGGTGTTGAGCACCTTCTCATTACCTGATGGCCATTTGTATGTCATCTTTGGAAAACTGTTTATTCAGGGTTTTGTTTTTGTTTTGTTTTTGTCCATTTTAAAATTGGGTTACTCGTTTTTTTGCTTTTGAGTTGCATGTGTTTCTGATATATTTTGAATATTAATCCTTTATAGTTTGTATGGTTTGCACATATTTTCTCCCAATCTGTTGGCTGCCTTTTCATTTGGTTGATTGTTTCTTTTGCTGTGCAGAAACTTTTTAGCCTGATGTAATCCTATTTATCATATTTTTTAAACTTAAAAGAAAATGCACATGTAAGATATGCTAATTATTATAAAATTTAGAAAATACATTTAAAAAAATTACAATCCTTTGACTCAGGTTTCTTCACATTTTGGAATATTTGATATATACAGATTCATATTGTGCACACTACTTTGATAAGAACTGTTTCCACTTACCAAAATACACTGGACAGATTTTCTTATCAGTAAATATGTTGTTGCAGAATCTTGACTTGAATCTTCATTTTAAAAAAAATTTAAAATTTTTAAATTTTAAAAATTAAAATTTAATTTTAATTAAATTAAAATTACATTACATTACAGGGTTCAGTGGCTCAGCCTGTAATCCCACGCTTTGGGAGGCTGAGGTGAGTGGATTGCCTGAGCTCGTGGGTTCAAAACCCGCCTGGGCAACTTGGTGAGACCTCATCTCTACAATAAATCAAAAATTAGCCAGGTGTAGTAGTGTGTGCCTATAGTTCCAGCTACTTGGAAGACTGAGGCGGAAGGATCACCAGAGCCCAGCAGGTCGAGGCTGTGGTGGTGGGAGCGGCCACTGCACTCCGGTCTGGGCGACAGAGTGAGACTCCAACTCAAAAAATAAAAAAAAATTTGCCTTATGATCCTGATATCTGAGCCTCCCTGATGGGTTGCTGTTACTGAGTGTGGTCAGGTAGTGAAGGCCACCTGTTAAATCACAGAAAGTTGTTTATTTAGTTTTGTTTTCAGTTTTACTGAGGTGTAATTGACAAATGAAATTGTATATTTTTACAGTGTACAGTGTGATGATTTGATGTTATAACATTGTGAAGTGATCACCATAATCAAGTTAATTAGCAGATCTATTGCCTCATAGAATTACCATTTTTCTTTTTTGTGCTGGTGTTTAAGATCTACTCTCTTGGTACATTTCAGGTGTATAATACGGCATTATTAGCTGTGGTCGCCATGCAGTATGTGCAACCTCCAAAATGTATTCATCTTACAACTGAAAGTTTGTACCTTTTGACCAGCATCTCCTTGTTTCCCCACCCTTCCGTCCTCTTCTTTCCATGAATTTGATTCTTTAAAAATTCCACATGTAGACAATACCATACGATATTTTTCTTTCACTCTGGCTTATTTCCCTTGCAAAACAGGGCAGGGTTGTCAGTGCTCGCCTCATCCCTTGACTGTTGGGAGCCCGTACTGCGCCTTCCTGATGGTGGCTGCGAGGGATCTCTATTTCTCCTCCTTCTTCAAACTTGCCTCCATTGGCATCTCACCCTTTTATGGTGGTTATGACTGGCAGTTGGTTCATCTGTCATCTCTCCACAGATGATTGTGTTAGGGAGCTCCTCAGGTCATAATATGTAAGACCAGTTTACTTTTAATGGATTCCGGCTTGAGATACCAATACACAAGAGCAGAGCTGCTCTTCCTGAGTGGAGGTGGGTGGACTGAGAGCCCTCTAACTCTTCTTCCCCTTTCTCCTCCTGTTTCCTGCCAAGGGTCTCCCTTTGCTCAGAGGACTCCACACTAACCAAGGTGATTATAATGTCAGCATTGGCAGTGCCCTGCCCTGGAGAGAGTGTTTGGGGCACATGGTAGGAGGGACTTTGGGAACCTTTACACATGCCATACTGTGTGGTGACTCATGTTTGGGTGATGTGCAGGAATAGGCTGGAGGTGTGCACAACTGTGCTCTGTTTCTGTTGGTGCATCTCGTCATTTTAGTATCCTTCAGAGGCAGCTGGACAGAAGTAGAAATGACTTAGGTAAATGAACAGGGTCCTGTGTCACCCAAA